AGTGGCGCCCGGCTCGCCATCGCGGCGGCCGGCAATCCGCCCGCATAGTGCGCGCGCCGCGGAGCCCCGCGCGCCCGGGGCCCGCACACCCGGCGAGGACCGGGCGGCAGCGCAGCGCGCCTCGACCCCTCCGCTCTGCTGCCCGCGCCCGCTTCCCTTCGCTGCGCTTCCCGCCCCGAGACCCCAGGCTGGAGCGCGGCGGACTGGAGGGTGGCACCGGGGCCGAGCTGGGACGCGCTGCCGCCGCGCTCGTAGCCCGACCGGCTCTCGGGCAGGCCAGCCCCGCTCCCCCGCCCTCCCTCCCGCGCGCGCCGGCCACGCCTCCTCCGCCCGCTGAGGCCAATGAGCGGCTAGATCTGGTCCAGCTCCTTCCGTGTCGCCCAATCACCACGCTGTCTGTTCTGTCGACCTGTTAGCTCCTCTCCTAGAGCTCCACCGCCCCTCATCCGCGTCTGCCAATCGCCCTGGACCTCTGGGAGCGTCCCACCCGCCTCCCTCGATCCGGGTTCGCCCCCAAGCCCGGACCGGGAGCGGTTCCCGCCCCGCTGAAGAGCCTGTAGTTTTTGGGACCGCTGCCCAGAGTGAACCCGCCGAGACTCTCTGGTCAGTGACTTCCGGGACTTCCCCATCCCGCGCTCTCCTGCTTCCCAGAGCCAGCTTGCGCATGGCTCCTCCCCCGTCTCACATCAGGCCACTGGAAGGGGTGGGATGGCTGGATGCTCGAAGATTTCAACTGGGAGCTGTATTTAAGGGACTGGTTTTTAAATAGCAGAGTGTGTTTTTCTTAATTAAAACTGCAGTCAATTGCAGCAACATCTCCGGGTACAATTACAGATGTACTGTTCAGTTTTTGCAAAGATAGCTTCTAGGTCTTTGGAGAGGAAGTATAAAATAAGACCTATGTTGCTGAGACTATTTTAAGTCCAATATCTGTAAAACTGTGCTCAGAGAAATCCCAGGAATTAGAGCCACCTTACAGATAGTTTGCAGATTTTGGAATGGGGAAGAAATGTCAGTACGTCATGCACATCAGAATGAAACAAGTACAAATTAAAATAACAGGCAATTTGATGCAGGCTGTGAGCAAGCAGTATGGCAGAGGAAAGAGCAGTCTTTAAAGAAGAATACACAGAACTAGACAGTAGTTTTATAAAGAAGATACCATCAGGGTTTTTTTTATAGGGACTCCCTAAAAAGAGCATTGTACCCTTAAACAGGGTCTTAGTAAGATAGAACAGTTTGCATAACAAAGGATGTAGCTATAGGGCATCTTTCAATTTATGGTGGTTCAGCTTGGTTGATTTCTCACTGGACCAGCAGTATTGCTACTATGCCCTGTCTTGATGATGACTGCCTTAACAAGCTGTAAATTTCTGGCAGCTGGGTGTTCTCAAGGCTAAGTAACTGATGCTCTACAGCAAACTGATACTGACATAGGATGTCTACTACTTTGAGTGTATTAAATACTCTCTTGACTTAACATAGTCCCAAGTTATGGTGTATTTATAAAATGTGACTCTATCATGAGCCAAGAAGCATCTATACTAGGATGCAAAACCAGAGAGATAGGTCATTGGTTAAGAGCTTGCTGCCAATCCTTATGATCTGAGTTCGATCCCCAAGATTTACATGGTGGTAGGAGAGAACTGACTTCTGTAAGTTGTCCATAGTCCTCCAGATATGTGTTGTGGAACATCCATCCCCGACACCAAATAAATAAAATGCATGTTGTTGTTGTTGTTTTTTAAGAAAAAAAAATCGATATGGATACCCAGCTAATAAATGAGGCTATAGAAAAGCAGGTTGTACAAATGTCAGTTTGAGAACTATGTGGGAATTGGATCTGGAATTTGTGAATACATGTGATAGTCCTCAACATGTAAAACACATCCATGGTCAAAGAAAACCCAAGTGTTAGAAAGAACTCTAGAAGCCATTTTTGTTTTTCAAGCTTCCTGTATACTTCTCACACAATATTACCTTCCAATCATTGTATCTGATAAGCATCTATTGGGTATCAAAAAAAGCCTTACTGTGATAGACCCAATATGAGCCCTGATCACACAAAGTTCATTTAGAGAAGCTTATGTTCTAGCAGAGAAGACAAACATTTAAACAAATCCATTGTCTCCAGTGCCAATTTGGAGGCATAGACTGACAGACCTAACACCATGACCCACCCCGGCAAACAGCCAGTCCTAAGCCAAGGCTTCAAGTGACAGTCCTTGAAATAATGCACCTCACGTATTGGACCACTCCTTCTGTATGGCCCCCTAGTGATAACCATAGGCCACAGCGTGGACACAGCAAAGTGTTAGAAGCTGCTGGCTAGGATTCCTTCACCTACATAGAACTGCACAAGAAGCGGAGTGAACTACCACAGGTATGGGAACCTTTCTAGAAATGAAAACACTGGGGTTGTGGCTATCCCACCTCTAGGAAATACAGCCTAAAAAGATTCAGAATTTCTTGTTAATAAGTATCCCCACAGCAAGAGAGAGACGGGTGCTCTCATTTTCTCTTTGTTTGGTATATTTTAAAAAGCTGTTAAAGAGGAGAATACAGCGGTGACATGTTTCAGAGGACAGAAGAGGGAAAGACAGAGAGGGAGAAACCAGCATCTGAAAAAAGATGCTAGCCAATGCCAATGATGCTAGCAGTCTGTCTAGTATTGTAGTCTTTTGTGCTTCAGCTTCTGGAGTTTCTGGAGGTTTGGGTGGGGAACAGCTGGAGAACATCCTCTGCTGCCTGACCATGGGAAATCATAGGAGAAACACTGATGTGAGAGAATTGAGGCAAAGTGCTGCCCACCATGTCTCTCCACTTCTGACTGTGGTTGATCGAACAGTTTTGGAAGGCCACTGTGAGATAATGAAATGGTTCTTAGAAACCTTCCATCAAAGTCATATATCAAGCATTCGAGTCTAGAACAGTCACTGCCAGAGGATAGTCCAGCTTTATATTCCCTCTCCCACTCTCTGCATACTTTTCTAGTCAAGCTTACCATTTCCTTTGCCTCTGGGACTCAGTTTCTCTGTAGGCTAATGTCTGCTGAGTCAATGGGAACAGGGCAGTTTTACCCCATGAGATTCACCTGCACAGGGCCAGGACCTAATTGCTGACTGTGAAAATCACTCAGAGGGAATAGGTTTGTAGAAGGCCATCACCGTCATAAGGGTCATAGCTAGAAGCTAGAGTGTATCCCGTTGGCAAGCCTGGCCAACTTCAGCGCTCTTATAGAAGGTGAGAACTTTAGAGATTCCCTTGGGTGCAAAACAACAGCACAAGCCCAGAAGGAGTAGAGACATCATCACACACAAGATCCTAGACATGAGCCAGACCCTGTGGCCACCACAGTTGTCTCTTTGGGTTGGTAAGTGAAATAATGCTTTGAATGTAGGCTCTAGGAAAGAGACAGACTCAAGGAAAACACCACAAAGGATAATTGGATATGAAACACTAGGCATAAAAGTCTGTATCATTTTAATGCGTATTTATTCCATGTGAAGATGTTTAAAAATAGAAATAGATTTCCAAAGTGAATTTTAATTTACAAGATCTTCTCTTCCCTGACATCTCTTTCTTCCTCTTTTTTTCTCATTCTTCTTTTTCTTTCATCTTCTCCTAGTCAATAAAGAGCAACGGGAATGGACATACAAAGAGAAAGAAATACGAAGAGCCCCACCCCACAATTCCATCTTGTAAATGAGCTGAGGAAATGAGAACAGGAGGGAAAGCCCCTGGGGCTGGCCGCCTGGGCTTCTGTCACCACAGACATCTGGCTTTTAATGACATGATATGGTAAGAATCATTTGGCACCATCATTGCTGTTAAATGTCTTTCAAGCATTAATAAAACATAAGAGACTTGCTTAAAATGGCGTTTATACTGGAAACCTTATGGTGATGGTATGTCATGAATCACTAGTGAATGCTATCAGTGGCCCTGTTTTTGGCAGGAAAACTGAAAGGGGGGGAATGAAGGAGAATTTGCTTTTGTGATCTTCCCCGAGGTCAGAGAGAAAGAAGCCTATGGCAGTTCTGGGGAAATATTTCAAACTTCAAAGACTAGAGGCCTAAGCTCTGGTGTCTGTTCTCACAGGAGTGTTTTCTTTGTCCTGTGGACCGTCGGGACAAATGTTTATAGCCATGTTTGTTGCTGAGCGTCTGAATTCCACTAATGATCCCTTCTGTGAACAAAAAATGGTTTGCAGGCACTCGTCCCTTTGTGTAGTTGGTTTCCTTTGGCTCATCTTTTCAGACAAGGCTCTCAGGTTTAGTCCTCAGATTTTCTTATCGTTTATCAACTAGTGAAAAAGATATTTGTTATATCAAATTCAAGGCAAGAGTCTTCATTATATTTCTTTATTTACTTTTATAGAAGGTGTTTAGTTTCTACACGTAATTTACAAGTTTTCTTGCAAGAGTAACATTGGCATATGTCAGTGACTACTTTGATTTCTTTCTACTACGTTTTAGTTACTGTGACTATCTTTCCATTTCTGTTCTCCATCACACTCTTACTTCTTCGCATCTTCTAGCAATATAAGAAATTTGGTATCGAGAGTGTAGATCAGTGGTAGAGTACTTGCCTAGTATACAGAAGACCCTGAGATTAGTTTCTAGTACTAAAGGTAAATTACGTAAATAAAATTAACTGGTTAATTCTTCTGTGGTTCAGAACAAGAAGCCTCCACTCTAGTGTTTATCTCTGATGGAAGCTTCAAAAGACTTCAGTGAGAGCATGTGAAAATTGCCTAGAAATGAGAGAATTAATTATACATGAGTGGTTAACATATCACTTATATACAAATACTGAAAACAGCTGAGTGTCGGAAACAGTGTGTTTTAGAAGTGAAGTAGCTGTATGCTGCCATGGCTCTATGCTCTGTCTTTTCCTGTAGGGATGCTTTCTGGGGACAGTTAAGAGTTATAATATAGAATTGAGATACTGTTTAGCATCCAAACAAACTCAGTTGTTTCAGAAGATCATGGAAACCACTCTGGAGAAAGTACACGCCTTGAGCTCCTGTTGCAGACTGCTGTTAAGCCTGCCAGGCCCCAGCCTCGGCTTAAGTTTCTCAGCCATTTACAGAAAATGGATAACTACTGCTATGGATTTAGAGATGAATAATTTTATATTTTCATTGTCTGTCCCGCTTTCTCACTCCCCCACCCCATTTCTTTCTTCACCTTTGTGCATGCATCTGTGTGTTTGGGTGAATGAATGCCGCACAGAAGTAGCCTTAGTGTGGAGTAGAAGTCAAAGGCTGACCTTGGGTGTTAGTCTCAGCTTCCATCTTGTTTGATACAAAGTTTCTTGTTTTAACTGCCGGCTCCAGGTTAGCAAACAAATAGATTCTGGAGATTCTTCTGCCTCCACCTCCCCCATCTCCATAGCAATACTGTAATATGGGTTCTGGAGATCCGAACTCAGATCTTCTGGT